AGTCAGATCTGTCTTGTTCTCTGATTTTTTTTTTTTTTTTTTTTTTGAGATATAGTTCACATACCATAAATTCACTCTTTAAAACGGTACAATTCAGGGGGCCGGCCCATGGCTGAAGGGTTGAGATGGTGCGCTCTGCTTCGGTGGCCCAGGGTTTCCCCGGTGTGGATCCTGGGTGCAGACATGGCACCGCTTATCAGGCCACACTGAAGCAGCATCTCACATGCCACACTAGAAGGACCCATAACTAAAAAGAACATGCAACTATGTACTGGGGGTATTTGGGGAGAAAACGTAGGGAAAAAAATGAAGATTGGCAACAGCTGTTAGCTCAGGTGCCAATCTTAAAAAAAAAAACACCTGTAGAATTCAGTGACTTTTCAGTAAATTCACAGAGTGTGCAAGCATCAGCCCTATCTAGTTCCAGAACATTTTCATCACCTGAAAAAAGAAACCCATATCCATTAGCATTCACATCCCATTTCTCCTCCCCTCAACTGCTGGTAACCACCACTTATTTCTGTCTCTGGATATTTCATATAAATGGAATTACACAATTTGTGACCTTACAAAAGGCCTTACCAGTTTGCCTTTTTTCACTTATCATAAAGTTTTCAAGGTTCATCCATGTCGTAGGACGAATCAGTACTGCGTTCTTTTCTTAGGGCCCAGTAATATTCCATTTTGTGGATATACCACATTTTGTTTATTCATCAGTTGGTAGATATTTGGTTTGTTTCCACTTTTTGGCTATTATAAATAGCTATGAACATTCATGTACACATTTTTATCTAGAAACATGTTTTCAATCCCCTTGGCATATACTTAGGAGTGGAAGTGCTGTGTAATATGGTAACTCTATGTTTAACTTTTTAAGGAACTGCCAAACTGTTTTCCAATGTGCCTGTACCATTTTATATCCACACCAATGCTAAAGGAGTCTGAAGTCATCTAGAAGGCAGGTAAGCCATTCAAAGTCTTCAGGCTAGATAGAGTCACATTAAAATTTTAATTTTACAAAGGTTACTCTAAAAGTAGTGTAGAGGCTGATTAAGGATTTCATAAGAAAAGAGGCCCAGAAGTCTGTCAGGATTCTACCACAAGTAAGCGAGGTGAGACGACAAAATAGTCTAATTAGGATAGTAGTAGTAAGGATGGAGAGGGGGAATTGGGATTGAAAGGGAAAGGGAAGGGGAAGGAAGTGAAAGCACTTTTAGAACAGATTAATTTAAAACTTAAATTACCCAGGAAGATGAGTATCAGAAATTTAAATGCCTAAAAGATCAAGTAAGTAATTAAAATAACTAAAACACACACAAGATGTAAGCAATACAGAGTGGTGGGGACTATAACAAACAAGAAAGAACATGTCTAATCTAAAAGAAGCAGCTATAAATCAACTCCAACTACCTAATGTTATGGAGAATTAGGTGCAGTGTTGTCAGATCTTCTCTTTGGTCAAGAAAAGCCAAAATCTGGATTTCAAGTTAAATATCCTGATTTTTAAATATTGCCAATTAATACAATATTTCTTCAAATTCTGTGCAATATCAACAAAACTGCCCAGGAGCTGCCAGTTTGTGATCTCCCTAACACAAAGTAAAAGGAACAGTGAGCCAAGTCAGCATAAGGATTATGTGCCTCAAATCTTTTCAGTTTCTCAGAGAAGGGCCAGATGGGATTAATTGTATTGTTCTCTTCAGCTGATAGATAATGGACTAGTTCAAATTTTTTTTTAATGAAGTCCTTTGAAGAAGTTTAGATCTCTATGATATATGATCACTTGGTCCTTTTAAGCTTACAATTATAAAATATAACTAACATATCTTACGAACAAAAAAATTATAGGAACGGTGTATATGGTTTTGCCTGTGTGTAACAGACCCAAAATGACAGTGGCTTTGACAACATAGAAGTTTCTTCCTTGCTCTCATAAAACTGCAAGCCATTATGGTAACACTGCTTCAAGAAGTCATCATCATTGTCCCAGGCCTTTTTAAAAAATCTTGTTGCTTTGCTGTTCTTAGAGTGCTGGCCTCTTAGAGAACACCACCCACATTCCAGCAAGCAAGAAGGGAAAGGAGAGAGTACACCCCTGTCCTTTACTGGCCTATCTGGAAGTTGCACGAATCACTTCTGCTTAGAACCTACGGCCAGAACTTTACCACAAGGCACAATTCCTAGCTGCAAGGGAAGCTGATAAATGTCATCTTTATTCTGTAGGGGTCTGTCCCCAGCAAAAATTCAGGGTCTAAATGTCTGAGGATGATGGAGAAAAGGGATATTGGGAGACAGCCAGCAATCTCCACCACAGAGTGGTATTCAATTTTTTAAGATTCTGTTCTTAAAATTCTATAAATAATTTATATTTTGGTTCAATTTTCCAAGAGAATATAAATCTCATCTAACCTTTATGTTTAAATATTGGAAACATAGCAATGTAACATTGCCACAATTTTGGCTTCATCATGCTGGTATTTATGAAAGTGCTGAAGAAAGTTAATTTTAATTTGTTCTTACAAAATTATTTTCCTAAGAATTCTAAAGCAACTGTAGTCTTCTTGCCATGCTTAACAACTAGCTTTCAAAAGACTACATTAAAAACTCAAATTAAAAAAATTTAAAAATCATTGACATATTCCTATAGCATATGGAACTATACCACCTCAAGGATTCTTTTAAATTAACACAGTCAATTGTGCCCTTAATGCCAGAAAACTCTTGAAGAAACAAGATGTATGCACCATAGCAAGATGTACTCCTGAATTTTGATACTTTATTCTCACATTAGTTCACAGTACTCTATTTTATCATTACAATACTAGAGAACACTAAAAATAAAATAGTTCACCAGCATATAGTTCACTACTGCTTAACATGTGAACATTCTAAAGGTCTACCCATGAACTATAGACTCTCCTAAATAAATATAAAAGGGAACACCATTAAAGGTGATACAATTTAGAAGACAGTACTTCATTAGCTGTTTTATGATCATTCACACATACAAATTCAAGAGTGTATTATTTCAAAGCTACTTGGCTTCAATCCTTCTTAAAAAATGGGAACATGGTACTTACCTATGGTAGCATCTTTTATCCACTTAAAAGTGTGTAAATAATTATGTTCAACAAACTTAACTTCTTAATTTATGACTAGCTTGCCTTGAGAATGGTTTTGAATGGCTAAGGCAATGGGTAAAATCATCAAGTATAATATAGAACATAATTGACTATTAAAACTTAGTTTTTGAAAATGTTTACGGTACAAAGTATCCATTATAGAAAGTTTGGAAACTACTGAAAAGTAGAAAGAATATCACAATAAACTGCATTAAATTGAGTATTAAATGCTTAAAGAGTCTCCAAAATTATCTTGACCAACAAGACTTTACACAGAAGAGAAAATGAATGGGGGACACCCACTTCCAACCAAAACAGAGTAACAGGGACAGGAATGGCCCTCCTGCCTGTAAAAATGAAAGTGCTGTACAAAATACATGAAACAACAGTTGTCAATACACCTGATACCAGGCAATGATCCTTGAGAAACAGGAAGCACATAAGGTGAACCCTAGGAAATAAGAAACTGATGACATGAGCACTATGGCTGTCCAAGCCTTCAGATTATCGACCTGGGAAGGAAAACCAAGGCAGAGCTCAGCACGATCCCTGAATTGAAGATGTGCATCTGGGAAATCACAGAGGGTCAGAGCAGCTATAAATCTCAGGACAGAGTGCCAGAGGGAGGAGAGCTGAACAGAGAGCGATCTACAGAGATCTGTAGAAACCCCTCAGGTATTCAGCAGTGTACTGATCAGCACACTGAGAAAACAACCCACAGCCAGAGAAAGAACCACTTGAAAGGATTAGAAGGAATAGTATGCATCACTCATACAGGGCTAGGAATTGTGCCTGTTCCCAACAGCTAGACTGGAAAACCTTATAATTAAAGGGGTTTGGGGTAGAGTACTCAGAAACTAATCTTAAAAACACAACCTTAAAGAATTAAACTATTTCCAAGTAACTAACTGCATCCCATAAAAAAAATGCTCAAGAAGATTTACAGGGATATAAAAATATCCAACACCCTATAAGATAAAATTCACAATGTCTGGCAGCCATCAAAAATTACCAGGCATGCAAAGAAGTAGGAAAATATAATCCATAACAAGGAGAAAAATCAACCAAACAAAATTGACCAAGATCTAAAAAAGATGTTAGAATTTGCAGACAAAGTTATTAAAACAGTTATTATAAATCTACTCCATATGTTCAAAAAAGTTAAATAGCCACATGGAAGTTTTTTAAACACCCAAATCTAACTTCAAGAAAATTATAATGTATGAGATGAAAAACACACTAAATGTGATCACCAGTAACGAACCTGAAGACATAGCAATAGAAACTATCCAAAATGACAGACACAGAGGGGAAAAAGAAGAATAAAAAAATAAATGGAGCATCAGCGATCCTGATATATATGTAACTGGAGATCCTGAAAGAGAAGAGAGGAGGGAAACCAAAAATATTTAAAGAAATAACGACTAAAATTTTTTCATATTTGATGGACATTATAAACCCACAGGTCCAAGAAGCTCAGTGAACCCAAAGCACAAGACACATGAAGATAGCTATACCAAGACACATCACAATTAAATTGTTCAAAACCAGTGAAAAAGGGAAACTCTTTAAGGACATGTTATATTGAGAGAGGAATAAAAATAAGGATGACAACAGATTTCTCATAAAAAACAATGCAAGTGAGAAAACGGTGGAGTAACATCTTTAAAGTATTACAAGAAAAAAACTGTCAATCTAGAATTCCATACCCAATAAAAATCTTAAAAAATGAAGGTGAATAATGATGTTCTCAGACATACAAAAGCTGAAAGAATTCATCACCAGCAGACCTGTGCTGCAAGACATGTTAGAGGAGGCCCTTCAGGCAGAAGAAAGAAGATACCAGATGGATGGAAATGGTAGGAAAAGCATGAAAGGAAATGAAAGAATGAAAGGAATGAAGAGCTTTTCTGGGCAAGATGGTGGCAGGCAAAGTTGCAATGGCTATGGGGCAGCCGCATCTTTCTCGCCAGGGTCTGGCCAACTTGGATGTTACCAAGTTGACTCCTCTCTCTCACAAAGTTATCAGCAGACAAGCCACAATTAACATAGGTACAATTGGTCATGTTGCTCATGGAAAATCTACAGTTGTAAAAGCTATTTCTGGAGTTCACACTGTCAGGTTCAAAAATGAACTGGAAAGAAATACTACAATCAAGCTTGGATATGTGAATGCCAAGATTTATAAACTTAATGATGCAAGTTCTCCTCGGCCAGAATGCTACAGATCCTGTGGAAGCAGTACACCTGATGAATTTCCTTCAGACATTCCAGGGACCAGAGGGAACTTTAGACTTGTCAGACATGTTTCCTTTGTTGACTGTCCTGGCCATGATATTTTGATGGCTATGATGCTGAATGGTGCAACAGTGATGGATGCAGCTCTTTGGTTGATAGCTGGTAATGAATCTTGTCCTCAACCTCAGACTTCTGAACACCTGGCTGCCATAGAAATTATGAAGCTGAAACATATTTTGATTCTACAGAATAAAATTGATTTGGTAAAAGAAAGTCAGGCTAAAGAACAGTATGAACAGATCCTTGCATTTGTACAAGGTACAGTAGAAGAAGCAGCTCCCATTATTCCAATTTCTGTACAGCTGAAATATAATATTGAAGTTGTCTGTGAGTATATTGCAAAGAAAATTCCAGTACCTCTAAGAGACTTTACGTCAGAACCCCAACTTATTGTTATTAGGTACTTTGCTGTCAACAAACCTGGCTGTGAGGTTGATGACCTTAAAGGTGGTAGGGCTGGTGGTAGTATTTTAAAAGGAGTTTAAAGGTGGGCCAGGAGATAGAAGTCAGACCTGATATTGTTTCCAAAGATAGTGAAGGAAAACTCATGTGTAAACCAATCTTTTCCAAAATTGTATCACTTTTTGCAGAACATAATGATCTTCAGTATGCTGCTCCACGGGGTCTTATTGGAGTTGGAACAAAAAGTGACCCCACTTTGTGCCGGGCTGATAGGATGGTGGGGCAGGTACTTGGTGCAGTTGGAGCTTTACCAGAGATCTTCACAGAATTGGAAATTTCCTATTTCCTACTTAGACGGCTCCTTGGTGTACGGACAGAGGAAGACAAAAAAGCAGCAAAGGTGCAAAAGCTGTCTAAGAATGAAGTGCTTATGGTGAACACAGGATCCTTGTCAACAGAAGGAAGAGTGAGTGCAGTTAAGGCTGACTTGGGTAAAACGGTTCTCACTAATCCTGAATGCACGGAAGTAGGAGAAAAAATTGCCCTCAGCCAAAGAGTTGAGAAACACTGGTGTTTAATTGGTTGGGGTCAGATAAGAAGAGGAGTAACCATCAAGGCAACAGTAGCTGATGACTGAAGAATACCAGTTAGTAACACATTTGGATAAAGTCCACATTTCTCTTAATAAAGTGAGGGTGTAATATTTCATAGCTCATTGTCTTAACAGAAACTACAAGGTTATTCTCATTTTTTGGTGATGAAAATTTTACCTCTATTACTAAAATAAATAATGGGGTCTACAATAACTGTCAAAATCAGCATATTGATGGATTTAAACCACATTTTAGCAGAAACTGATCATTGCTAAACAGTGTCAAATTTGTGCATCAGTTCAGGTTTGAAATGAAAGTGCTGTTACAACCACCTTTGCTGTAGTACACCTAGCACTGAACCTGTTTGAAATAAAATTTTTCTTCTTAAAAAAAAAAAGAAAGGAATGAAGAGCACTGAAAATTGCAACTACATGAATAAAACAAAAGATCTGTTTTTATTATGTAAATCTCTTTAAAAGATTATCTTTTGTTTAAGCAAAAATTATAATAATGTAATGTTGGGTTTACAAACTATGTAAGAAAAACAGAATAGGATATGAAATAAATTTTAATGTGTTTTTAATAGTTACTTGAAAATTATAAATTCACACAAGAGTATTTCAGATCTGCTATTCTACAGAAATTAAAACTGTAGCCATTATTCTGAAATGCCACTCCATTTGGCCTACACTTTCTCATTTAGCTTGGGTAGCCTTAGCATTACACTTTTGAAAATATAATTTAAGTTGAATTTGCTACATTCGTTTTCATAGAGAAAAAGTAATACGTAACTCCAAAAGAATGTTCTTGTTAGTAAGCAAGTTAACTCACAAGGTATGACAGTAGCTTTTGCTGAACTTTATGAATAAAAGCAAACAACTGGTGTTTCACTACAATGCTAAACTCATCAAATATTTATTTTAATGTAGGTAACTTCTAAAAATTGGGTCAAACAGATAAGCAGGAGATTTTAAAATGTATTTATAGCACAGAAGAAAGTTCCCTTCCTCGCTCCCCCAACCTGCCTAAAATGAAAAGAATGCCTAATACATATCATCAGGGATTTTTAGGAGACTGTTTATCAAGAAGGTTTGGGGGAGAAGAGAACAAAGCAGTACTAGCTTCTCACCATTAAGAGGCAGATGAAAGTAATCATGAGACCAAAGACAACTGGTGATTCATGAGTGCAAAATTCTATATATTGCTACTGAGTTTTTCTCCTATTTCATCAAATCTATTCAAAAGCATATCCACAAGTTCTCTCAATGAGTAGCCCTGTGCTGGAATGAAAGTGGAAATTAATAAATACGGAGGAGTTGCATCTTTTCAGTAGTGAGGGAAAAGTAGATTCCAAGATGAAAATCTAGTATAGACAAAACTGCCTTGGAGAAGGGGTTAACTCAGCCATAAAGTATAGTTTAGAGCCTTTTCTGTGGATAGCCCTGAAGAGAAATTCTGATTCAAACTCAAGTGTGGGAACTACCACACTAGACAAAGAATTAACAAAAGGCAAGTCTCCCTGCCGAAGTCTGTGCGTTCAAATTCTGCCATATAAGACAACCATTAAATCTCCAGCAGGAGAGAATGAGTGGAAAATTCTAAAGTGTTCCTGCTTGTCAGCAGAGTTTATTTCCATTTATTTGAGTATTCAGTCTCTATAACCATCACATATTACTAGATTCAGCATTCTTGAAAGAATTAAAGGAGACAATTATATATAAATATACCCAATACTGAGGCTCAATAAACGCATGATGGATTTTAATCTAAGTCTTGCTCTGAAAGTGCCATAAGTTGCATAAAAGACCATGGCCACTTATAGGAAGCAATTTCTGCCTTTCTAAACGGAAAAATCTTGTTGTATTGATTTCATGCATTTTGACACCAGCTGTGAAACTTGTTCTGGTAGCATTACGTCTCACATAAGAATTGAGTTATATGTTTAAATGCACATTATGCTCCTTCATTCTTCTCCTGTACCAAAAAGGGCAAAAGGACAAGAAAAGCAAAGAAATGAACAGAAGAGAAGGAATATTCAAAGACATTTTTAACAATACAGTAAATTTGAAATCTGTTCAGAATATCAGCGGGGCCGGCCCGGTGACGCAACAGCTAAGTGCGCACGTTCCGCTTCGGTGGCCCAGGGTTCACCGGTTCGGATCCTGGGTGCGAACATAGTACGGCTTGGCAAGCCATGCTGTGGTAGGCGTCCCACATATAAAGTGGAGGAAGATGGGCACGGATGTGAGCTCAGGGCCAGCCTTCCTCAGCAAAAAGATGAGGATAGGCAGCAGCTAGCTCAGGGCTAATCTTCCTCAAAAAAAAAAAAAAGAATATCAGCAGACATTAGTACATGAAATACAGTCTAGCATAGCATAAACACCATTTTACACAATGATGATAATGATGATGATGATATAGATAATCCTAGTTTAAATGACTCGTTAGGAAAGAAAAGGATTAAAACAGTGGAACCAGCAAACACAAGAAAACGTTGGCCATTAAAAAAAAAAACGTGTACGTAAAACTTATCTGGAAAAGTGGTCAGTGTCAGGCCTCTAGACTAATAAGGAAATGATGAAAAACCAAATCAGATGGTGGGATGAGTGAAGATGCAACGTTGTTGGTCATTCAAGAAAAGAAGGAAACCAATTTGATGGAACATATTGTTCTGTGTTTAAAGTGATATAACTCACTTTATCAACCCAGTAACAACAATATCCAATTACAACAAAAAAATGTAGTAGTGTTGTAGATGTGGGCAAATGAGTTTGAGATTGGAGGCATTATATTGGGACCTGGGCTGCCTACTAGCCACATGACACTATTTTATAATCAAAATTAAACAAAAGTAAATTCAGGCTCTCGGCCCGACTACCTACATTTCAAGTGCTCAAAGGTCACTTGTGCCTAGTGACTACGGTAATGAAGAACATGATCTATAATATTTCCATCATCGCAGAAAATTCTGTTGGGCAGCATTGATCTATACAACTGTTAGGAGCGCTTTGTATATGAAAGATGAGATCTAAAAGAAGACACACACATAGACACAAAGCCAATAACTCATCCATTCCTTCTTACAGACATTTACTGAGCATTTTTCATGTCAGAGTTGCTGTGCTAGGCATTTGGAGTCCACAGATTAAAACAAAATAGTCCCTGCCCTCAAGGAGCTCACGGAGAAGTAGGAAATAATGACATATAAACAGTCAGTTGATCAGCAAACACTCATTGGACATCAACTCTCAGAAATGCACTCAGTGCTGTGGAAAAAAAAACAGTAAGCAAGTTCTCTCTGCCTTCAAGTGGCTTACAATCTAGATAATGATGAAGAAGGCAGAATAAGATGCAAACTGTTTTAAGTGGTGATTGATATTTGGGACTATGTACTTCAAACTGAGATCCACGAGTTGGATGCGGAATTTTCCTCATTTTGGGTTTTCGCTGGTATGATAATCTAAAAAATCAAGAAATATAAATGTATTCTAATTAAATTCTGAATAAGCTTCTTAAAACTAAATAGAACCACCAAATTTTCATTCCAGTGTTTATTGTTGGTGTTCTCAACCACGTGTGCACCAGGTGAAGGCCAAAAAACATACAGTTTGATAAATAAAGTCTGATTAGGAAAGATGTGAGGATGAACTGAGTCGATACAGAACACACAGTAGCACAGGCCTCCCAAAGCGCCTGCATGATAAGTCATCATCACGTTGAGAGTGAAGGTGGTGCATGCATCCTCTCTCTGCGTAGTTTCCGCGCAATCTGTTCTCCATTCCTGCAATCTTTGGATAGGGCTTTAAGATTTGATTTAGAATTCAATAACTTCACAATGCTAATCACATCTTTAAGAGAACAAGAAGACATTACAGAGCGCTCAGGTGACACGTCATTAAAATTGACATTTGAAGATTATTTACTGGTAGAGTTTTCGTCATACATGAAGTCTGATTACCCTGAACCAGCAAGCAAAGCCTTCAAGTTAATATTGGGGCTTTTTTAATCTACTTTTTAAAAGGACACTTTCTGCATTTATATTCATATAAAACATAGAAACAGATTAAATAAGAACAGGATCTGAAGCTAGCTCCTTATACGCTTAAACCTAACACTGGCAATGTCATTTCAGCAATACAATACCATTTGTCACATAATTTAATGTTGTTCCTTGTAATTTCATCAGTTCTGTTGTTCACATTTAATATTTGCTCATTGGTTTTGGTCTTCTAATTTGCAAAATCTACGAGTCAAAGTATTTACATTTTATTTTACGTTTCTACATACTTAAGTAAAATGTTTAATAAGAATAACTTAGGTTCATACTGCATAGAGCAGTAGTCTTAGCTAAATCAGACAATCTTCTTGCAGCATTTTACTTGGAGAGGGTGCCCATTAGAAAGCCAAGCCGTCTCTTCCCTCCTTTCCATCTAGGCAAAGGAGGGCACAGATCTCTAGTGGGCCACAGAGGAACTGCAGAGAGAACATATATAATAAATTCCATATATTAAATATACTCCTATATTTCAAAAGTATAAACATGCTGAATTGGGCAATAAAATGTCAATTCCTTTAAAGTTTTACTCATATAGTAGACTTTTTTTTATTATGGGTTTTTCTCAATCAATTGATACTAAAATTCAACTAGTAAGAGTGTGTGATCCACTGCCATAGTCCTAAATGACTGTAGGAATTCAGAGAACAAGATCATGATGAGCTGCAGAAGTCAGAGGAAGCACCGCCAAAGAGGAGGGACATAAGTTGGGCCTCGAGGAAAAGGAGAGCAGAGAAGGTGCAGCTTCCTAATGGGCATACTCTCCAAACAAAACCTGAGAGGAGTAAAGTCTGAGTTTAGCTAAGTGATGGCCACTGATAGTTCGGAAGGTAGCAGGTTCTGAAACTGCACTGAGAATGCTAGGCTGAAAGAAACCTGTGCTATTTAGTGTACTTTCAATTGCAAGGGGCAGAAACTCAATTTATGGATGACTTCTTGCTCACATAAGGTAACCCCAGAAGAATCTGGTAGAATGGCCTCAAGAATGACTGGATGCAGGAAGTGAAAAACTGAAATGCTGTTACTGTTTGTTCCTAAACCCCCTCTCCACCTGCCACCCCTGCCACACACATGCACATTCACACCTTGACTTTTCTTTACATGTCAGGCTGGTTGTTCATTATCTAAAATGTAAGCCACTTGCTAGCTTCAAGCTTAGTGCTTACATCCTTAAAGTCATACAGCAGGGAATGGCAAGAGTTAAAAATATAAAGGTAATAAAGACAGGCTAGGTCCAGACTATGAGAGAATCTGTGTGCCATGCTGAAGAGTTTGGGCACTTAGAGTCAAATCTGGCCTAAGCTAAGTCAGAAAATCTAAAACTCACATGAAGAAATAAAG